GGATGAGCTTGCTGTAAGCTACTCTGCTATTACCAGAGCCAGAGCCTCACCGTCGGCTATTTTATTTTCAGGTATTATATTTTTCATTTCTATAGAAGTTCTCTTGCTTGTTTTATAGTTTTGTTTATCCACTCCCTTCTTCTATCCCTCACTCCCTCCCTCTCTTTCTTACTTCTTTCTCCCTGCACGTATTGTAAGCTTATCTTATTTCTTAAGACAAAGTTTATTTATAATCTGTGTCCAGTCTAAAGTGCTGACATGCTCGTGTCTACTCTCTGTTGCCTCTCACTCATGTTGCCTTGTTTCATGTGTGGTTGCAGCCGACTGCCTGCAGTTCATTTCCCCTATAACTTTACACGTGTGCCTTCAAGGTCGGTGTGCCGGGGGCCCCTCCCAGGAAGGATTCCCATCGCTCCGGTGGAGGCCTGAGGCCGTCACCGAGGTCCCACAGCCGTACTGGCAGTTGGTTGGGGGCCACTCTCGGCCCCCAGAGGCCACCACACATGCTGTGCCGTCCCCCAGCTGTCAGAGCCAGCAGTCCTCTTGTCCTCCAGTAGTCTGAGTCTAATGAGAAAGTAAAGACCACGTGATTTATATAAACTGTGGTGAAAGAGTGTAAGCTATAAGGAAGCTCTGTAAGGTGCTCCGGAGCCAAGGGAGACCCAGGGCAGGACAGACTTGAAAAGGATTCAGGCCTCTTTGGAGAAGGTGTGGTTCACCTGCCCGCAGTCCGGAGGCCTGGCTGGAGTGGGTCTGGAGGTGCTGGGCAAGCAGGAGGCCACCTTCTGGAGTGCAGGCAGGAGAGCAGGTGGTCAGTGTCATGGGTGTGTAGCGGAGCCCCGTGTACAGGGACGTGGGCCATGCAGGGGTGGTTTTGGCGTCGAAAGGGCTGCAGGAAAGTCATTTCCAGGCTGAGGCCACGGGATCCAGAAGCAACCGTGTCTGGGCCCGAGCCTTTCCAGGCTTCACCAGACGTCCTCGCACCCACCCGCCAACTCCCTGGCCCCGCCTGCAGTGTCCCTCCAGCTCCCTCTACTGAGACTGCTTAGCAGCGTGCGCTCCTTCAGGAGAGAAAAGGGGGTTCAGCTGTTTATCACAGAGCACGTAGGAAGGGCGACGCTCCGAGCAGTCAGCAGTAAATTCGTCAGTGATACACGCACTCCCAAGGCCTTCGTCGGGGAGAGCCCTGTCCCTTTTAGGGGCTCAGCCGATTAGATCACGTCTACTCTGGAGGGTTTCCCTTCCTTAAAGCCAGCCGTGCGTTACACACTGACCACAGGATGTCCATCGTACTCACTGTCTCAGGTTTAGACAGGGTGTGTACGCCAGGGGATGGGTGTCTCGGGGGACACTGAGGGGTTCTGCCTGCCCCAGCGGGTGGAGTGGGGGAGGAGGTGGAGACAAGGATGATGCAGAATCAGGTGAGAAATTTGTTTGCAGAGGGCACAGGTATTTCATTCTGTGCTTGATACACATCAGCTGTCCCACGAGAAAGAAGTAATAACTAGTATTTATTAAGTTTCTGTTTGTAACTACTCCTCATAGTACTTTCATAATTCGGTCTTTATTTCTTCACGTTTTGGCGCAGGGACTATTACCTCATTGTTCAAAAGGGGAAATTGAGGCTTGGGGTTGTGAGGCCACCGTGTGGAGACGGACAACTGAGGTCGCGGGCGTCAAACCAACCCTGCCTAGTATGCAGCCCTGTATTTTCTGAGAGCGTCTGGTAACACGTTGCCTTGGAAGAATTTGCGTCTTGGATTGGGAGGAGGGCAGATGACAGGGATCATCCCGGTGGAGAGAAGGCAAGTCGCCTTCAGCACCTCGGCTGTCTCTTAAGGAGCCCACTGCTAGAGGTCACTCCTGTCACGGCCCCCACTGGAGGGACAGCGGGTCAGAGGAGAAGTCCTTGCCAGACTTCCCCATTCCTGCAGAGAAGCTGGGCGTGTATCCTCTTGAGCTGCCATCACGGGGAAGTAACCACGTCTCTGGCCCCTGTTCTCATATCTGAATGTGAAACTAAAGAACAAAGCAAGATTTGAGCCCTGGCTGGCGTGGCTCACTGGATTGAGTGCCGGCCTGGGAACCGAAGGGTTGCTGGTTTGATTCCCAGTTGGGGCACATGCCTGGGTTGCGGGTCAGGTCCCCAGTAGTGGGTGTGCAAAAGGCAAGCACACCTTGATATTTTTCTCCCTCTCTTTCTCCCTCCCTTCCCCATTCTCTAAAAATAAATAAATAAAAATCTTTATAAAAAGCAAGATTGAGAGAGCTGGGTATAGCCTTTTTGATGGCTGGGTACTTTAAGCTTGGAGAATTCTAATAGCCAAGAGCAGAGCTCATCACCAGTGGCCAGAGAGTGTGCGTAGAATGAAACCCCCCATGTGTGTCTCTCCCAGAGCACGGTCCGCTGCTGTCCTGGTGTGTCTGTCACAGTCTTGGGAGCCCCTCGGTGGCCGGCCTTTCTTCTGATCCCTCTTTGCGTCCCCAGAGCCTGACGTGGAGCGTGGTGTTGGTAATGATTGTGGGATAGAGCAGGACCTTTGTTTCAGCCTGGTCTGGTGGGACTCGGGAGCACTGGATCCCCATCCAGCCCCATCACTGATTCGCTCTCTGGGATAGTATGTTCCCTAGGGCCCAGTTGCCTCGTCTATAGAATGAGGAACGTGGACTTGACTTTGGGCCATTCCAGCGCTGCAGATAGACATCACCACACCACAGCTACCCTGGGCACTTGAATGATCTCAGATGGTTTGTTAGTAGGCTTGGCTTCAGGTTATGGGGACATGTGGAACAGTGTGGGCGAATTGGAAGGGTACATTTTGTTCTCTCTCCTTGGACACATGAAGTAATATAGTCATTGGAATATGACCTCTTCCTCCTCCCACTTCCATCAATTCAGGCTGGATTTTCCCCCCTCCCAGTTCTCCCAGTGTTTCTCTGTCTTAAAGGGAACTTCCAACTCAGACGGGAGTCGGGAGGGCAGGCACAGCTCGGATGCTCAGAGGGGACCGTTCCTGAAGTTTCAGATGAACTGGCCAGGGCCGTTTCCCAAGGAACTTGAACTGTGGTTTGTGGGTGTTTTTGTGAGATGTTTTGCTTGAAATCGAACCGTTAAAAATAGTATGTAAAATTTAATTAAAAAAAAAGTTTCTCAATACTAATATGAGCAAGCCAAGTGGACTTCCTTCTAGATGTTTCTTTTTCCCCCTCAGGTACCAAGGGGTTGTCATGGATTTAAGCAATAGTCAGCAGAGGGATTCCTTATTTCCTTAAGCCCCAGATCAATTTAGATTTTGCTAAAAGAAATGTCAGTACTTCCGGAGGGAACTTCTGTCATGGAAACATGAGTTTGAGCTGATTTCTGGGTCAGGAGCTGCTACCACCTATTAGTATCGGACCACGGGCAGGTCACCGCGCCCTCTCTCTGTCTCAGTTTCCCCAACTGTATTATGGAGGAATGCAAAGGAAGGTTCCCCGTGAAGCAGAGCACCAGCAGTTGTACGAAGCTCCCCGGGTCGTCAGCGTGCAGCCAGGACTGGGAACCACTGCCAGGCAGCATCCTTGAAAGGGCGGGGAGGGGAGCCGGTATTTCAGGCAGGACTGTGCATTTCTGGTGAGGAAAGGAGACAGACTCTAGTTCAGGTTTAACCTATTTTTAATTTCGATGTCTGTGCAGTAGCCAGCTATCTCAGACTCTCGAGAAGGGATGGGCGACGGGGTACAGTCAGCTTCTCTCTCTGCTGTGATTGGGGAAGTCCCGAGTCTGTGGAATTTTCCATGACTCGCAGCTCTGCACGGTGAGTGTCCGCTGCGGTCACAGAGCTTTCCAGTGTGTCTGCCTGCTCTGTCCCCCCCCCTTTCTGTCATTGCAGTGTCAGATCGCTGTCAAACCCCAGCTACACGCCTGGGTGTTTTGTTGGTGTTTACTGCTCCTAGTTCTCGGGGTAGATCAGAGGATCTCATCTGAATTAGCTTTTTGTTTATAAAGTAAGTCAGCCAGAGGTATCTGTTTTGGCCCAGTTTCCTCGGGTGTCGTGTTACCTGTCACAAAACCACCTTTTGTGGGGCGGGGTGGGGAGAGCGGGTGCTCTGTTTCTGGAGGCACAAGCTTCTGGTGCGGTGCTGGCCACTGGTGATCAGAATCGGCCTTTTGATCCTTTGATTAGACAAGTTCCAGAAATGACAGCAAATGAAAGAACAGAGATCCAACCAGATGATGCCCAGGCTGTTTGGCTAGTTCCCTCCTTTAGGGGAATTCAAGGCCCTAAAATTTCTCTGCTTCGGTTCTAGCTCAGTGGTCCTCAAACTTCATTAAGTATGTGAATGACTGTGTCAGATGGAAAGGCACTTGTGAGCAGAATGAGCAAATGTTGAAGACCATCTGTGTGCTGTTTTTCACGTCTGACCCTGCGGTTATATGTAATACTGTTAGTTGGACTTCCTGCAGAATTGTCCACAGATTCTGAAGTGGGCGGGGGAGGTAAATGCCCGTTTGGCTCGTCATTTCTGTGGCCCGTGTTTGCATGGCAGTGGTGGCAGAGAAGGGGCACGCCAGTGCGAGAGTCTAACTGGGGGCTGGGGGAGCTGGAATGTCACCTGGCTGTGCCAGTAAAACACATGTGTCCCTCGGGCCTCAGCATTTGGAGAGTGGGTAAGGTAACACCCATCTTCTGAGCTTGGGAGTTGTGATGGTAAATTGAGATTAGGTAAAAACACTCTAAGGTAAAGATAAGCATGTGAATTTGGGAAATCTTAGCTACTTAGAAGGAAGAAAATGAGACAAGACAGCCGTCCTGTGATGCAGCCTCACTGCTGTGCAGCGTGTTGAAACAGCCGGGTGTGCCGGGTGAGACGCTGGCACAGTGCGTTATGAACTTGTGTTGAAGGCTGGGCCGAGCAGTTTGGCTAAAGCTCTTTTCTTTCGTTCTAGTTGCAAATGGTCCTGTTCCCACAAGATTTCACCACTTTTTGTTGTCGTTCCTCCCCCATGATTCTTCCAGTTGGCTGATTGCAATTCTGGCCCAACTCAACCCTCTCTTCGGACCGCAGCTGAGTAATGACACCATCTGGTATCTCAAGTATCACTGGCCTTGAGGAAGAAGACCCGCAGTCCAGTGCTCAGCCACCGAGGTGACTATATACCCTTGACCTTGCGCATCCTGTTGTCAGTCACTCACCTAGAGTCTGCCTTGGCCTTTTTGCAGAATGTTTGTGGCATTTTAGCACCAGGCAGGGCAGGCTGCTGGAAGCCATTGTGGTCTGAAGAGCAGAGGTGGATTAGGAAGTTAGGTCGGTTATTTACTGAAGGACTTGTCCACAAGATTCTTTTAGATTCTACTCTTACCCTGCCACTCAAACACACTTTGATGTACAAGATTAAGTTCACGTGCCATCTTCTAGACATAGCTCAGGAAAGGGGCCACTACAGTTGATGTCATAAGATTCAGCAGCCTCAAGAAGCGGCTGGCAGATTTGAAATTAAGTGCCTGTCTGAATGCTCTGGATAGAAAGAGAAGGGTGCTTTTCTGAAAACTGGTCCTAAAATTGCAGCTTTTATTTGGTCCTGAGGATCGGAGGGGTAGGGAGTGGTGCAGTGGAAAGATTTAGTCACTGGCTGGGGCCGAATCCCTGCCGTGTAGTTGGCCCCTCCGTCGCCATCATTCCGTACAGGGAGTGCAGTGCTGTGTGCTCCACTAGGTTCCGGGCAGCCCGTGGGCAAGGACCCCTCTCGGGGCTGCTGCGAGGCTCGTGTTGCCTATCGGGGACTGTGTGCGTGCCTGGCCCTCCTCTCTCCAGTGGTGCTGAGGTGATGACGGTGGGTTCAGGCGGTGGCGGCCGGCGCTCCAGTTGTAAAGGGCGCTGTCAGCCTTTCATCCGGGGATTTGAGCTAGTGATGAGCATAGTCTGATTGGGAGTTTCTGTAGAAATTGCAAACTGGTGATTTCCTCGTTTTATCCTGACTTCTACATTTGAGTAGATGAGCTCTCTCTAATAAAAATGAGCTTGCCCTCATCAACTAGGGTTATTTAGTACCCTTGAAATATAGATCATACAGGAAAAGCAGAATATATACTTAATTTAAAAAAAATTTTCAGAGTAAGTTATTCGTGCTCGAGTTCCTTCTGGGGTGTCTAGTGAGGTTTCTTTTCTTTCCTGTTTAGTTGTGATCAGTTACATTCATTGTCCTTTTCGTGTTTAGTTGTTCTTTCTTTGGCCTATGGGAGCCTGTCTAGACCGGCTTCTGCGTCCGTCAGGTGCTAGTCTTAGTGGTTTCTTTAATTCCTGGCAACATCAGATGTCCCTGACTCCTGTTGTATGTTTCCTGGCCCAGGCTTGGAATCAGCTGGCCCTCCAATTGCTTCCTGAATTTCCCACTGAAAGGTCCCTGGCTCCCTCATCAGTCCCCCGGCCCTGGTTTCTCTCAGTGGGAATGGCATTTAAAAACTAAGTGCCAACTACGGTGCATGTCTGTTTCTGCTGGGGGGGGTCGTTGCTTCTCAGCCTTTACAATGGACAGAGCTGGGAGGGGTATAGTTTTAGGAAGAAAAAGAATTGTGTGCGTGTTAGCGTTTCTAATTCAAACGTACCATTATAGGTTTTTTACTTCTTTGGTTTTGTACTTGAATGTCGTTCACATATGCTGACAGTCTTGGTCCCTAACACAGTAACTTAATTAGTTTAATTAGTTACTTTTATTATCCTACAGCACATGTAAAAGAGTTTCCAAATAGCACCAATATAACTACCAACTGTAGCTTTATTGGGCGCAATTTGGCGTATCTTTCTTGCTTTATTTGTTCCTAGAACAAGTGAAGAACAGAGTGCTGTTTTCTGAGGTCGCTTGAAATAATAATTTTTTTGTGGTGGTTATCAACGTGGGATATAGTTAGATTAAGTTTTACTTTGTGTTCAGTTCATAGTAATTTTAACTTATTTGCTTATTTATTTTTATTGTTGACCTATTATAGTTGTCCCAATTTTCCCCCATTGTTCTCTCCTACCCTGCCCACCCCCACTCCCACAGTCCGTCCCTACCCTGTTCATGTCCATGGGTCATGTCACTGTAATTTTTTAATTTATTGCTATTTTTGAATATGTAAAACATATTTCCAAAGTCAAAATTGTAAACAAGATAAATTCGAAGAAGCCCGTCCTTCCTTCCGGTATTTCGTTTGGCCCAGGAGAAGCAAATACATGCGTTCGTGTGTGTGCCCCCAGCCTCCCCCACACCCGCTGGTGCAGAACAGATGTGTTACACACACTGTTCCGTAGCTCGCTTTTCCACGAACCCCGCGGCCTGGAGATTGCTCCCATCAGCGGGTGGGGATCTTCCTGGTTCTTTCTGTGGCTGTTGCTGCCCTTCTGGATTGTTTCTAGTCCTTTGCCATTATTAATAGAGCCCCAGTGCCGTCCTGTGCATATGACATTCTGTATTTTTGCTAATGATCTTCGGGTTAGATTCCCTGAAAGTGAAATCTCGGGTTCAAGGTACAACTACTTCTGCTAGATACTAGCCCATGTCCTTCTCTGGGGAGTGCGCCATTTTCGTGTTCCCACCAACAGTGTATCAGATGCCTGGTACCTCATGGCTGGTTTTGCCAATCTGATAGGTAAGTCGTCAGCTTTTTTCCCCTCTTTGCTCAGGGTGTTTTGATTTCCCTCTTACGTAATTTTTAAAATCTGATGGATAAGATTTTTTTCACAACGTCTCCTGATTTCTCTCCTTTCTTTTAATTGTAGTGAGTGTTAGGTAGGGATGTTGCTTGGGCTTTAAAGCCTTTCACTTCACTTCTCTGAGCCTCATTTCCTCGCCTTCTGATTGGACAGGTGGGCCCTTCAGTTTTGCATAACCCTCAGTGTGTGGATCTTCCCTGCCTCCCGTGTGTGATGACCTAATTGATGAAGTCCTAACATTTGCATTCTGGTCCACAGCACCTACTGGGGCTGCTGCTTAAAACCCTGTATTAAAGGTGGTTCCTTTAAAAGCAAAAGGCCAGGAAGGGCACCACCAGGCGAACCCTAATTCTGAGCACCAGGGTACGTTTATTCTGCATTTGAGGTGGTGACCCTGGAAGCATTAGGACTCAGGGCCTTTGGAGTCACTGCATCAGAAGATCTCAGGTGTGCATAACACAGGAACACGACCGCACCTCATGCTTCTTGGTGGTTAACTCAAACCCTTTTGAACTCTGAGCTTTTACCCAACGGTGGGATGATCAAGGGGTGTAGGCCCGTCTTCGTCCAGTAAGGAAAAGCATGTGATTTTACGCACGATTTAATGAAGAGCCTGGGTTTGGAAAGTGGGAGACGTAAGCTAGACATGGTGTTTGGCAAGAGGAAGATGAGGAACAGTGGTTGACAGCTTAGAAAAATGGGTACAGATGAAATCGACTTGGTCTGAACAACACAGTTAAACGCCCAGTTAGTGTTTTGCTCCCTTCGTCACTTTACTTGCCACCGTTTTCTTCCATGTGTGAGGACTGATAGGGTGAGTGCTGGCCCGTGGCAGCCACGGGCTGGAAGCCGTGTCCGCACTTCTCCGAACAGGGCTCGCGCCATCTTTGCCCCTGCCAGCCTTGTCCCCCTTGCTGTGGAACTGTCGCATCAAGGTGGCTGTTTTTGTCGATGCCCCACTTTCCTGCAGCCTTGGGGATGTCACGCTGGCATGTCGTCTCCCTGGAGTGGTTTGGCTTGAGAACCTGTGTCCTGTAGGCTGGTTGGTGTGCTGCGTCATTGTGGTGTGTCACATGAGCTCACGTGGCATGCCACGGTTCCGAAAGGCAGACGCTCCGTTTCTGCGGAGTCTGGACAGGGGAGGAATAGAGGGTGTTGGGAGTTTGGCCTCTGCCCTGGGGGAGCTGTTTTTCTCTGCATTCCAGAAATATCTGACTGCTCACAACGGGCAAAGTACTGAGTGGAAATTCAAGGAAGGCCCTGAAGGGGTTTCCCATATGTCCAAGGTTAAAATTAAGCCATGCTGTGACAAGTTCAACAGTGCAAGGTGTTTGTGGTTGAAAACTATTTTTTACTCTGATTTCGGACTGGATAGTCTGCTGCCGCTTCAAGCCCAGTCCTGTCTCCATTTCAGTTCCTGGTGGCCCAGCTTTCCCCATCACTTAGGGTCAGAGCCTGTCAATCACGTCTTTCTCCACTTCCTCGGATCCAGTTGACCCTGGTGATGTCTCCGTATCCACGTCTTCCAACACCCTCGTCCCCGACCCCGGTCACCACAGCCCTGAGTCACCACGGCGGCTCCTCGGCAGGCCTCCCTGGCCTCCAGTCAGTGTCTACAAAACACCGTCCTGTTTACCTTCCCGCGGGGGCGCTTCCCAGAACAATCGCTGCTGGCCCTGAACCGGCCGCCCTTCTCCGTGGGCCACAGCAGGGTTTTTAACCCAAGGCTCCTGAGTTCAGCGGGTTCAGGCCCCTTGAAACGCCACGTAATATGTTGTAAGCACAGCCCACAGGAGATAAGAATGACTAATCTGCGGGTTACGTCCAGCTTCTAACTGGCGGTCAAGGCCTTTCCAGTCGGCCCTCAGACCCGCTTTGCTGCCTTTTTACTCCTGCAGGCCCTGTGGATTCCAGCCTCACCATTTCCATGTTCGTGACCTGTTTAGCTCTACTTACCTTTTCCTGCCTCTTGCTACCTACAACATTCATTCATTTAGAAAGTGTATTAGTAAACACTCTTTCATTTTGCAAACATTCTTCTGCCCTATTCCACTCCCCCATTCCCCCCGGAACTCTTCCTGATGCTTTCTGAGTGTCTGGCTTGCGAGGCCTTGCACTTCCTTCCCCGGCCACTTGGTTTCGGAGGGATTTCTCCCCTCCCTAAGGGTGTCTAGCTCCCCAGGGTTTTGCCATTCATGTGATGCCCCACCTTATCTTGTTAAATTAAATGCACACCCTTAGATTGCTTAAATGCCCTGGCAGTTCATCTCCTGCAGGAATCACATACGCTACACATGACAATAGATAAGAAATTATTTTGTGAATTTGTCTGAAATGAAAAAATTAGAGATAAAAATATCATCTATCTTTGTGTAAAAAATACATCCCCTCATTCTTCCCCGAACAGATTTCCTGGCCCTGGACTTCATGTTTTCATGTTGTCTGCATTCCCAGTGTTATCGGGAAGTAGCCGTAGTGGCTTCCCTTGTACAAAATAAGAACATAGACCCTTTGTTGAGTTCCCCTCCCCCACCCCATCTGATCAGAGATATGATCAGAATGTGTATCTGTCCAGTTCACTCCCAAATCAAACAACACGTCTGTGCCATTTAACATAAGGCTCACTCACATTTATTTTACACTGAGCGTCATCGCACCGGAGGGAAAATTGTCCCCAGTGTCCATGTGGTTTTTCAGAAGTGAAGGCCTGTGCTTTTCAGTTTGTGAGATTTATTTGTCCAAGAAGGCCTAAACGATGAGGAAGTCTAACCAGTATGTTCTTCACGGAAAACTACCACACAGAACCCCTGTGTTCACTAGCCAGGCTTCTCGCATGAAATTCAGAAGGGGCTCGGCACTGGGGTCTGCACAGAGGTGCTGTCCGCCAGCCGCAGCAGGAGGAGAGGGGGGATCGCCGAGTTAGGGGGGGATCTGTTTAGCCTGGGGCTCGCTGCGGTAACCAGCCCTCTGTGGCCTGGGTGTAAGCATGGTCCCCGGTCACATCCTGAGCTGAATGTATTTTGCTTGCGGTGTCCCGCCTTAGGGTCCCGGCAGTCGGGTTCTTTCCACACCGAGGGCGGCCGGGCTGACCTGGCTTGTACCAGTTTCGTCCACTGCTGGGCACCTGGACACTGGGCCTGGGGGACCTTTTGTCACACTGTGCTGGGGCTTCTCCTGCCTCTGCCTGCTGACCTGGAAAACCTGGAGGGCCCATCAGATCTCCCTGCTCTTTGACCATCGACCATCGGTCTTGTCAGACCTGCCTGCCACAGACCCATCTCCTCCAAATGTAACCCATCCCACCTGCACTTAACCCTCAACATGCTGGCACCGTGCGTCCCAACCAGCATGTTCTCCGGGCCACCAGCTCAAGGCTCGTGTGGACATTGCCTTTGAAAGACATTTTTTCTTTGTTGGCTTTTTAATTTCAGGGGCAGCGTGCATGGCCTTATTTCCGCAGGTGTCCGTACAGGAGTCTCCGGCCGCAGCTGGCCCGGGGGCAGACGCCTGTGCTAAGTGCTCACCAGCCCTGTGGAGGTGGTGCTGCGGCGTGAAGCTTCTGGCGAAGAAACTCATGTGTGTCACCTACACTTGTGGTGGCAAGAACAGAGAGCAAACTAGGAGCAACTTCCAGTACCAAAGACAAAGAGTCAGCTCTGTAGGAGTGTGACAGAAAAGCCTGCCAGGCCTGGGGGACCCTCGCTCCTCGCTGTCAGAGGCGAAGGGCAGCAGGCATTCTTGGAACCGAAGGGCACTCGTTAGATTGCTGTGTGATCGGTCTTAGTCACTTCACTCTTCCTCTTTCTAGGACACAGTCAGGCCTGCTTGTGATCCTCAGTTTAGCAGTGTCCTTGGTCATGGGACCTCTTGTCACCGCCCTGCAAAGCCTGCCCAACTTGCACGTTAATGGAGCCCACTTTTCACCTCAGCCTTTATTGAGTACCTATTTTAACTGATCGGCCTCGTTGACTTTCTTGAGATTCACCCTTTGGCCTCCCGAGGGTGGGGTGAGGACCAGTCACTAGAACGGCTTTGTTTTGCAGGTCGCGGAGAGAATTCCTCTAGCTGCAAAGCCGCCTCCACACCCAGACCGCCTTTCTTGACTCGCCCGTGTTGGCCGCCAGCTGCTGCCTTAAACATTCACCCCACAGTTGAATACTTTCTTCTACAGTGCAGTATTTTTCTCCTGTACCTTTCTTACACTCCGATGAATTATGTGCCTCTGTAATAGCAACTGTGCCGACGACATAAAATGTATGTGCACTCTTCTGAGACAGAAGGTGCTAGTCTTCTGAGAAACACACCCTCTCTCCTCGGATCCTGTGGATTTGAAGGTGGCTCCTGCCCGCTCACGACATGGGAACCCGAGGCGAGTTTGAAAGCTGTCCCGGGACGGTGAGGTTCCAGGACAGCAGCCAACAGGAGTCCGTCCTCCCAGGGAGCTCTGTCCCAACAGAATCACACCAAAGTCTACTTTCAGGATGAATTTCTTCTGCCATCTTTTGGAATAAATTATTTTCCTGCTTTCTACGGAAATCTGGTGTTTGTGTTTGTTACGCTCATTTTTATAAGCTTTTCTTCTCTAAATAATGCCTTTAAAAAAAGAGGCACTGCATTTCAAACTCAGGTTGGATGTATGAAACCGGCCGTGTAGTTTGCGATGCCTGAGAAGACTTGTAAGTACTTTTCTGAACCATTCAGTAAGCACTTGAGTGCCTGGTGCAGCCAAGGCACTGGGGGGCAGATGCATGGAAATGGGGTCTGTGCAAGGTCAAGAGCCGTTATGCTATTAGGAGCGGGAGGTCAGTCTACATAGAACTGTTTGTCCATAAAAAGTGTTACGACGGTGAGCAAGTGGCAGGTCAGTACCGGCCACAGGGACAAGTTGGAACCAGTGGCTCATTGTCCCTCATGCCCTTGGATCCAGGACTGAAGAAACCCAGCAATTAAAGTAGCCTGGGGCGGGGGGCAGTAATTCTTGGTAGCAAGCATCTCAGCAGTTCACCATTTGGGGGGGCTTTATTTATTTTAAGAAATTAAAAATTAAAATAGACCTAAATTTCTACTGGCCCACGGCTTTTTGACAGCCGGCCAAGAATGGATTTCCTGTTTTGCAGTTCACGCTTTTCTGTCCCTCCCGAACTCTCTGAACTCAGTGCTTTGCTATTCTCATGACCAAAGAGAGTTTCGAGTTGAAGTGACTTCACTTCTTTCTTCCAATCTTTACTTTCGTTTTGAACGTGAGGTTTTTGTGAGCGTTAAGCAGTCCTGTATTTTACTTTTCCAGCAAAGAAGGGGGTCCATTCAGCTAACTTCATAGAGTCTGTGAAACGGTGTCAACTTGACCCCAGAGGGACTGTAGTGATACGTGCTACGCCCACTGTTTGTGGACAAGGGATCTACACCTTTAGTGCAGCTGGTCAGAGGTGGATGGGGGAGCGGGACCCGTTTTTTAATTCCTACTCGAGCGCTTCTTGCTCGCCACTCTGCCTGGCTCAGAGTTGCATTGGCCAGGAGCCAGCCCTGGGCCTTGGACGGGAAGGGAGAATTCTGCCTTTGTGGATGACCAGGTTGTCTCACATTAGAGCAACTTACTTGGCCCTTAATACTTGTCATCCAAGAAAGCAGTGCTGGTGGTTACTGTGGCTACAGAGGATGCCGCGGTCTTTGACCCGGGCTGCCGAGGGAGGGGTGGGGAGTGGCTGAGACTCCAGCACGGTTGTGTACCTGGATTTTCAAGTCAGGCCGGCAGTCCATTGTCGCTGGGGATCAGTCTGGAAGCTTCCCAGCTCCCACCCTGCACCACACCGCCGCAGTTTGGGAGCTGTGCCTCATGGTGTCCCCAGTGGAGTGCTGCTTCCTCCGAGTGCTGCTGTTGCTGGTCCTGAGCCCAGTGCACCGCGGCAGCTGCTAAGGATCCCACGGAGGTTTGGCCCAGCAGACCTCAGCCGCGGCCTGCTTTCAGCAGAGTGGACAGCTGCTTGGGGACAGCCACGATCATTCGTGATTGTGGTGTGGTACATTTTCAGTTTAATGGCATCATTGAAGGCAGAGGTCACAACCTTGGCTGATCCAAATCCCTGGGTTCCCCCTCATTCTGACACCTTGTACTGATCCATTTGTCTGCCTCTCATTTGCTCTGAGTTAGACCTTGGGAAGTCAGCTGGGTTATGTTGCTTTTCTCCCTCAGGCTCACTTGCCATTTGCCAGGATCCAATTTCTATGAGAGTGTGAGCTACACGAATCGTGGTGGGAAACACTGGGACGGGAGCACTGAAGGGCGTGGTGCTGGGCCCGGGAAGTTTGACTATCCCCCAGAAGGGGACATCTGGCTCAGTGAGCCTTCGAGGGAGGGAGGAGTCCCTAAGGAATTCAGCAGCGGCTCTGGCCTGAACCCGGAAGCTTCTCTCCAAACCCTGCTGGAACTTACTCCTAAAGATGTCTGAGTGGACTCAGCATAAAGCCTGTGAACTCACTTTCCGGCCAACTTAGTAGATCAAAGACCTTCCAGGAGGATGGACTGCAAGCCCCTCAAGGCCAGGTACTGTGTCACCACCTGGCCACCTTGCTGTTGTTGAAATGAGGGCCTAGTGAAATCCACTCAGGTTTTGTGAGGGAAGCTCAGGAAGATTCCTTTGCCCAGGGCCATTTAGCCCTTGAGCCTGTTTTCTTTCTCATTTAGGAAATTAGTGAGACTATTGAACACAATTAATAGGTAAATTCAGATACATGTTTTTTCCTCACCTTGGCCTTGAATACCGGACCATATTGGTACAACATGACCCAGCCTCTGAGATGGATGCTTGTGAATCATTTCCTTTGACAGGCCTCTTGCTGCGGTGTTTGCCAGGGCTCAGGTTCAAAGGATCCTGGAAAAGTCCCTCTCCTTTGAAGCCTTTCCAGGTGAATGGGGTGTGGCCTCATCCGCTGATCTTTAGACCAGAAGAAGCCCTGGCTTTGCAGTTTTATTCCATCTCTTGCTGGCTTATGGAACTTGGGGCAAATTTGTTTTTCCATGCATAAAATGGGGATAATACCTGCCTTTTCTGTTATACTAGGTTGCTACCAAATGAGACTGGTGGCAAAGATGACTTGTAAATTATAATAAACAAAGTGTATTTTTCAAACAAATGATAAAATCCCTGGGACCCATTGACAGTACTACTTTTACTCCGTTCTTTAATTTTACTTTTGAATGTACTTTTATATAAAGATAGGCCCCAGAGGGACAGCCAACTGATTTTTTTTTAGCCCCCTACGTCTGTTTTCCATTTTGATTAGCCCTTTGTACTTGGGTTATAAGAAAAGCAAAGGTGCGTACCCAGCTCCAAGCCTGAGCTCTGATAGGGCGATGGGTCTCCTAGAAACAATCAGATCAAGCGTCTGGACCACATCCTTCCAGGTTCCACCAGCTCTTCTGCCAGAAATGGTAGTATTTCTGGCATGCTTTTGAAGATGTAGTTTGCTGGGTCATAGGTTTCTTACGTGGTTTTTGTTTTGTTTAAACATACTGTGGTGTCTATGCCCCTATCACTGACCTGACAATTGTGACATCTTTCTTTGGTGTTGCTTCAGAAGGGGCACCTTTTTGGTTCATTCCTTCTAGCCCCCCCCCCTTTTTTTTTTAGCAATGGCCAAGAGTCCTGCCATGCTGAAGCAAATTTAGAATTGAGAAAATTATTTTAAATCGTTGCTCAGACATGAAAAGAGCTGGCTCTGGATTCCGTCTTCCACAAATTGGAAGGATCGATTGCTCCTTTATTAGCTTTATTTAGGCTATATTTTTAAATACCGATCTCAGCATTTTAGAATGGTTTACTTACCCCATTCATCAAGGCAAGCGCTCTCCCCTATTTGGAGGACAAATGTGTTTAAAGAGGAGATGCTTCTTAAAAGTTATGTTGCTTTTTGCCCTACCCTTTTATTTCAGCTTTCTCTCAAGAGTTAAATGGCTGCAATTAATTGTAGAAAAATCCATAATTTTCAGAGGAAAAAAGCACAGTGAAAATGCCATTGTGAAAGATATTTATCATAGCACAGTGAGTGGAAAGCAACCTTCGTGCCCAACGTAAGGAGATGCTTAAAGAAGTCACGCTGCACCCAAATGAGGGAGTCTCATGGAGCCTTTAATGACTTTTCCCCCAGAATATATACCTAGAAAAGAGATCAGAGGGACAACAGGACTATTAACATTGCCTGCAGATGGTAACTGCACATGCATTTAATAATTTTTTCCAGCAGTTTTCTCCAGTGAAAATGTAATAATACTTCAGAAGCAACAATAAAAGTTTCTTTACTAATGAAAGATAATAAAGCATTGTGCTTGCTTTTGCAGCACATATACTTTGCATGGCTCCTGCACAAGGATGATTTAAAAAAAGGGGGAAAGAAAGAAATATAAAAGAATATGAAAAAGAAAAAAATGGGATTTTAACACTTGTGTACATAGCAAAAATCCTGGGTGGAAATAAGACCAAAATGTTATAATGATTATTTCTTTGACGACTTTGTGTGTTTTCCAGAATTTCTACAAAGAGTATGTAGTATTGTATCATTATAATGGGGGGGATAGGGTGTTTTTTGCGGGCGGGGGAGATTAAGGGGACCCATTGTCAGCATAGTGTTAGTACTTCCTTCAAACATTATATAACACACCGCACACACCCTTCTTTAAAAAGAGTAATTCAGGGTCAGGGGAAGTGAAGTCAGCTAGATTTGTTAAAACACTGGAGCTATTCTGAGTCAATGAAGATTAGCGCGTCCACACAGCAATTCCGATTAACTGTTTCCATTGTGCAGGGCAGAGTGGGAGCACTGGGCGGTGTGTAAAACTGGGCTCCTTTTGCATAGGTGCTCATAGGGGCAGCTCCGTGCAATGAAAAGGGAGCATTGATTTGGATTCTACCCACATGGAAAAGTGGAAGCCTGGGGTATTAATGCTCTGGGGTGCCGCATGGGTTAGAAAAGGCCCCACTGTTCTTCCACTCCAGCTGCTGCAATCAAGTCCTTCATTCAGGCTGTGCTGCTGCTTCGCTTAGAACCAACCCCTTGTGAAATGTATTGGCCCTTTTTTTTGCTCCCAAATTCTACTCCCCGCTTTCCAGGCTAACTCCGAGTGGCTGGGGATGCTCCGCCACTAATACCTCCCTCTACCAAGAACTCCTCACCCCCTTCTCAACTCAGCCCTCTGACCCCAGACAGGCCCTGGGCGCGCTGTCCCACCGACTCCCTCCACAAGTGGTGACTCCCGGAGTTCCCGCAGCAGCACTCTTTGTCATCACTACTGTGTAATTCACAGGGTGTTTTCCCTGAGGCTGCAGAAACCTTAGCTGGGCAGGCTCTCTGGCTTATTGAAGCGTTTGATCCTTGCAGCCTTGCGCAGAGTAGGTGCTCAATGAGTAGGTGCTCAATGAGTGTTAATTCGCTGCGAGTCCTGTGGGAGGCCAAGCCTTTCTGTGGAGCTGACTCTTGGTAAGGGCAGCGGGCAGGAGCTGCAGCCAGAATCCTCCTGGCTTGAGCCTCAGTGGCACCGCCCA